GTGGATAGATAGGTGGATAGATAGGTGGATAGATGGAAGGATGGATAGATGGAAGGATGGATAGATGGAAGGATGGATAGATGGAAGGATGGATAGATGGAAGGATGGATAGATGGAAGGATGGATAGATGGAAGGATGGATGGATGGATGGATAGATGGAAGGATGGATAGATGGAAGGATGGATAGATGGATAGATAGATGGATGGATGGATAGATAGATAGATAGATGGATGGATGGATGGATGGATGGATGGATGGATGGATGGATAGATGGATAGATGGATGGATGGATGGATGGATGGATGGATGGATGGATGGATGGATAGATGGATGGATGGATGGGTAGATAGATGGGTAGATAGATGGGTAGATAGATGGGTAGATAGATGGGTAGATAGATGGGTAGATAGATGGGTAGATAGATGGGTAGATAGATGGATAGATGGATAGATAGACGGATGGATAGATAGACGGATGGATAGATAGACGGATGGATAGATAGACGGATGGATAGATAGACGGATGGATAGATAGACGGATAGATAGACGGATAGATAGACGGATAGATAGACGGATGGACGGACAGACAGACAGACAGACAGATAGATAGGGCAGTGGTGGTTGGTGACCCCCATGTCGGGCAATGAATCATTTTTAGACTTTGATTTAGACTTTAAAGGAATTTATCTGAAGTGCTGCGTTGTTTCCCCAGTTTTGGAGGGTCCTTTTAAAGCTATCCAAAACCCAGGTTGGGTTTACTGCTCCACTCACATGGCATCCACCAGTTTTTGCTCTTTCATAAGATCATAATTTTTAAAATTTCTCTCCAGAGAAAGTACATTCTGTGGTTTTTCAAAGCATTTGTTTTTGTTTTTCCTGCAAAGTGATTCCAGCTAACTGGAAATGGGACAGATTGTCCCTTGCCAGGCCATCCGAACAGCTTCCATGTTGAGCACAACTTCTGTTGATGCTTTTGTTTTCCTTTGTGCTCATACCATTGGAGGGGGATATTGTAAGTTGAATTTGGAAACTAATATTAAGCCCGTCAAAGAGACTGAACATAACTTTACATTATGGGTTACGCACCGCTACTCCATCAGTGAATTGAAATGTACATCCAAAAGCACAAGACATGTGTGCATTCGTGTGCAAATGCGCACACTCAGTTATAGGCACTGTGCATATTGACATCATATGTACAGTTCTACCTCTATGGACATTTTGCCTTGGGTGTGATTGTTCATCTCCTTCTATGGCATGCTTTAAGTATGCATAAGTCGCCCACATTATTCCAGCTGTAGTTGTGTATCATTAAACACTTGGCAGCTACTGATTTTATAGAATTCTTCAATTATAAATTGCTCCAAAGCATAACTCAAGCATCCTCTTCAAAAGCAGCTCCACAGAGAGGGCATTTCGGCTCAAGGAGTGGCAAACTGCATTAATTCTACAGGAGCCTTGGTTCGACCACATCTGGAATACTGTGTTCATTTCTGGGCACCAAAATTGAAGAGAGATGGTGACAAGCTTGAATGTGTCCAGAGTGGGGCGACTCAAATGATCCAGGGTCTGGAGAAGAAGCCCTATGAAGAGTGGTCATTTGTCGGGGGTGCTTTGAATGCAGTTTTCCTGCTTCTTGGCAGAATGGGGTTGGACTGGATGGCCCATGAGGTCTCTTCCAACTCTAGGATTCTATGATAGGAGGATGTTAAGTAGATAGAAATGCATTGTCTGTTAACTCCCTTATGCGTTACTGTTGGGAAAATACAGTTCTAATAGACATGTGATCACAGCACATTCCACTGAAGAGTTAAACAAGTGCAACTTGAGGGACAGGAAAAGAAGCTGAGTCATGACCATGTGCTTTACTTACTTACTTAGACATCCTCCGTTTTCCGAGGAGGATTGTCTTCCAGTGTTCTTGCGGGTCCGTATGTGGCTGTGGAGCCCTATTCTTGCTCTGCATCTTCTCCCGCAGTGAGGGCATTGGTTTCCAGGTGGAAGGCGGTCTCGGTCGGGGTTGGCTTGACGCGCCTTCCTCTTGGCACACTTCTCCCTTTCGCCCTCTATTCGTGCCTCTTCAAATTCTGCAGCACTGCTGGTCACAGCTGACCTCCAGCTGGAGCGCTCAACGGCCAGGGCTTCCCAGTTCTCAGTTGGCTTTGAGCCCATCTTTCAATCTCTTTTCCTGCCTGCCAACATTTAATTTTCCATTCTTGAGTTCGGAGTAGAGCAACTGCTTTGGGAGACGGTGGTCGGGCATCCGGACAACGTGGCCGGTCCAGCGGAGTTGATGGCGGAGGACCATCGCTTCAATGCTGGTGGTCTTTGCTTCTTCCAGCACACTGAAGTTTTTCCACCTGTCTTCCCAAGAGATTTGCAGGATTTTCTGGAGGCAGCGCTGATGGAAACGTTCCAGGAGTTGCATGTGGCATCTGTAGACAGTCCACGTCTCACAGCCATATAGCAGGGTTGGGAGGACAATAGCTCTATAGACAAGCACCTTGTGACAGGTATGTCCTTGTCTGATGATGAGAAGCCTATGGGGATAAAAGTAAGTGGCAGACATGTGCGCTCTCTCTTGACATGCGGATCTCTTGCCATGTGGTGTTCTTGCCATGCAGTGCTCTTGCCATGATGGTTTCTTGCCATGTGAATCTCTCATCACTATAATTGCTTCTTGTTGTATTTATTGCTGTATTGTTGCTGTTGTGAGTATATCTTTGTATATACCAATAGTAGATCCTGATTGTGTAAATAGCTGTACATAAACAATGACTCCAGATTAAAGCCTCCAATGTGAGTTTGGTTGAAAACCAAAGTTAACATGTCTTATTAAAGCAGTGAGTGGCAAACAAGGTCAAAGGCTGTGCAGTAAATCTCTGCTCACTACAGATAAAAGACTCTGCAGTGTTTTGGTTTGATTTAACTACTTGCCTTCAGACAAGTCCCATGCGCAGCTTAGGGAGGACATGAGGAACTATAAATTATGTATTTACCCAGTGGGTGTTTTGTTTTTACCCCGACAGAAGAATCTCAGGAATCACCCTTGCAGACTGATGAACTTTAATTTCACTTGAACTACTCTGGCTCAATGCTGTGGAATTATGGGAGTCATAGTTTGACAGGGCCTATAACGTTAGAATCATAGAATCATGGAATTGGAAGAGACCTTGTGGGCCATCTAGTCCAACCCCATTCTACCAGGAAGCAGGAAAATCACATTCAAAGCACCCCCAACAGATGGCCACCCCTCCTCTGCTTAAAAACCTCCACCAAGCTCCTGGGCAGAGAGTTCCACTGCTGAACAGCTCTCACAGTCAGGAATTTCTTCCTAATGTTCAGGTGGAATCACCGTTCCTGTTGTTTGAAGCCATTGTTCCTCATCCTAGTCTTCAGGGCAGCAGAAAACAAGACTGCTCCCTCCTTCCTATGACTTCCCCTCACATATTTATACATGGCCGTCATGTCTCTTTGTGTGTTAGTGAATGTGTGGTTTCAAAGGACAGGGAACTGGATCAAATGCCTTTAGCCCTCCAACAACAGTTGTCAATCAACTGGTGGCTGAAGTACCTATCCTTGCCTTCAAAACAAATACGCACTTTCTCTGTCAAAGAGCGCCAGTGCCTTATGAAACCACAAATCCCAGGATGCCATGGTTTGGAGCCATAGTACTTAAACTGCATTAACTGTCCAGTGTAGCGGTGTCCTGTGATGTTGTTCCTCCAGGCAAAGAGATGCATTATTTGCGTTCACACTACAGGTCTGAATATTCTTTGTAAGAAGTCTTGAGAGTTTTTTTTATGATGTTAATTTATACCCTGCTTATTTTCTATCCACATGGGAGACTCAAAGCGGCCATCCTCCTCTGTCTGTTATGCCATGTCCACAATGAGTTCCCTTGGTTAACAGCTCCATACTCCGAAGTATTATTCAACATGAATTTGCACTGCTCTTCTTTTTGCCTTTGAACTAAGCTTAATGAACCATGGAATTTCAATGACATCTGGTTACTTCTCCCATTCTTTGCAGGAAGGAAAGGAAAATTGGGAAGTGAGTTCTCTGGGCATGTTGAATCTCCTGCTTGTTCCCACTCTTGTGTGAATGCATGCCCGTTTCCTCCACTCACCTTGCTTCCTGTGCTGTCGCGCCTGTGGGCTATTATTCTCAATAAAGGAGGGATGGACGTGGCATCTTTCCCCCAAGGGATTGCTTCTTGCCCTCCTATAGGAAACTGGAACTTTCAAGAACCCAAAACGCTCTGGATAACTCAAAATAAGTTTTATTTATCACAAAGTCATTTCTTCAAAGCAATGAGCTGGAAAACTTCAGAGGGGTGAAGGAAAACATACGTTACAGTCTCAATTAGTCCTGGGTCCAAGGGGTTTGAAGCTGAGAAGCCTCACCAAGTTTCCTCTTTCCTCAATGGCTGGAGCAAACCACAACCCCAGTTCAGATGGCCTATGCTTTGAAGACTCAGGATCTTCCTTTGGTGCCAAAAGAACCGGCTTGAAGGCGCCTGGGTCTCCTCAATGTTGTCCAGGACAATCTGGACATAAAGCATGAGTCCCAAGTGTAACACTCAGAGTTGATGCTAAGAGGTAACTTAAATCAGGGTCCTTTAGAGTCAAGTCTCTTACTCACGTCCATATGGTAGGAACTCTGATGGCAGAATGAGAAAGAAAAGTAAGCTCTCCCCTCCTGCAGGAAGGGGTGGAGCCAAACAGTACTGATAGACAGCTATAAGTAACCAATCCATACAACTATACATAAGCATGGTAAAGGGGTCAGGATTAAGCATGATACAACAGTTTAACTCTTGCCACTAACAGTTCTATACATAGGTGGTGCCACTCACACCGTCACACTTCCCAAACCCCTACACACTTCTAGGTTGTGACTGATACAGCATGGGTGCACATGCATGGAACTTTCAGGGCTTTCCAAAGAGTGTTACACGTGATTGATTTCATTGCTCCCCTTCCTTTCTGTCCTCAGGTGCACATCGGTTACCTGCCTAACAAACAGGTGCTTGGGCTCAGCAAACTGGCAAGGTAAGAACCAGAGTTTAATTAAACTAATGCGGATTAACTTGGATTCCCCGAACAAAGTATGCTGAACTGCATAAGCCGATTCTTCTCTCAATTCCAGCAAGCTAAACCTCTTGAGTTTGCAAAACAATACACCTTTGCATAAGCTGATAAGCTGACAAGCCATTGAACGACCAAATCTCTGTACTTGGTTTAAAGAAAGTAGGCAAAGAAATGGTTGCTACGATAACATTGTAGTGCATCTAGCCCAGGCACGGGCAAACCTTGGTCCTCTAGGTGTTTTGGAGTTCAATTCCCACAATTCCTAACAACCGGTAGGCTGTTAGAAATTGTGGGAGTTGAAGTCCAAAACACATGGAGGTCTCAATTTTGCCCATGCCTTATTTATTTATTATTGTGCAGGTACAACTGTACCAGGAGCTCCAATTTTGTTTGCTTTACATTCAATGTTTGTTATAGTCCTAAGTTTCAGGGACTCTGCAGATAGGTGGCTTCTTTTGGCTGCAATCATAGGGCAAGCCACCTGTCAATTATAGTTAGGTTCCCTGGTCTCGCCCCCCTTTTTGGGTTTTAGAGGGAATAGGAGCCATTTTGAGTTCAGTCCACACAGAGAAGCCTTTCTTGCAGGACATAATACCAAGAGCTCCCGTAGGGGGTTTCGGGGGGGCTGAGTTTCAGGGCGGGCTGAGTCTGAGTGAAAGAGGGTCTACCCTAGCAAACCTTTTGTATCATTACCCCAATACCCCCATGCATATGGGATATATTGAGTATGGTGATCAGATCATGATATGAATAAACATAACAGTTTAAGTAATGCACCAGTAAGGCCTTTTCGCGAACCACCATGAGAATTTAGAGGGAATAGGAGCCATTTTGAGTTCAGTCCACACAGAGAAGCCTTTCTTGCAGGACATAATACCAAGAGCTCCCGTAGAAAGCTTCATCTTCTATGGCTTGACCAGGGAGATATACAGCCCACAGCTTGGCTGGGGTTATACAGCCCTACAGTTCCTTTGCTGAAGGACTTCAGTCAGCCATCACGGAAACCTGAATTCTTTTCCCCTGGAAGTCTACAAAGCTCTGCTTGGTAAGGGTCACTCGCGGTAGCCAGAAGCAGTTGGTACCGGGTGTAGGGGCTCCACGCCAACAGAGGCAAAGACAGACTGCCCAGATTAGAAGTTAAGGATTTCCCCATTAGTTACAGTTATGAAGATAGTGCCTGTTCCCTGTGGACAAGATTGAGAGAGAGCCAATAGACTGTTAAGGAAGCCTTAAAGTACCTGTTTGTTTTCATTAATAAAGAACTTTGTTGAACCTTTAAGCAATCTAAAGACTCTGTTTTAAGGAAATCCAAGGGTCTTTAATCTGAGGCAGCCCTGGCATCCCGTTGGGCACACAGAATTTATGTCCTGTCTACAGTCTTATGCACTGGCCCAGCGTGCGACAGCACAATCATGTCAGAAGCAAATTGAGGGTACAGTTATAATGGCGTTATACTACGGTAAATGTCTTTTGACCAGAAGCTGGCCACTTGGAGTGCCTCTGGTGTTGCTATAAGAAGGTCCTCCATTGTACATGTGGCAGGGTTCAGCTTGCCTTGTAGTAGGTAGTCTGTAGTTTGCTCTTTACACTCGTATGACATGGACTCCACTTTGCAGGCCCATTTCTTAAGGTTGGCTCTGCATCTCGTGGTGCCAGAGCGCAGTCTGTTCAACGCCTTCCACGTCACCCATTCTTTTGTGTTCCCAGGGGAGAGTCTCTCATTCGGTATCAGCCACTGATTGAGGTTCCAGATTTTTGCCTGCCACTTTTGGACTCTCGCTTGCTGAGGTGTTCCTGCAAGTATATCTCTAGATCTTGCAGGATACTCCACTTCGGCAGAAACAAAATGAAATGCAAAGATACAGAATGGGGGACAATGCCTGGCTCGAGAGCAGTACATGTGAAAAAGATCTTGGAGTCCTCGTGGACAACAAGTTAAACATGAGCCAACAATGTGATGTGGCAGCAAAAAAAAGCCAATGGGATTTTGGCCTGCATCAAGAGGAGCATAGTGTCTAGATCTAGGGAAGTCATGCTCCCCATGCTCTATTCTGCCTTGGTTAGACCACACCTGGAATATTGTTTCCAATTCTGGGCACCACAATTGAAGGGAGATATTGACAAGCTGGAATGTGTCCAGAAGAGGGCGACTAAAATGATCAAGGGTCTGGAGAACAAGCCCTATGAGGAGCGGCTTAAAGAGCTAGGCATGTTTAGCCTGAAGAAGAGGAGGATGGGAGGAGACATGATAGCCATGTATAAATATGTGAGAGGAAGCCACAGGGAGGAGGGAGCAAGCTTGTTTTCTGCTTCCCTGGAGACTAGGATGTGGAACAATGGCTTCAAACTACAAGAAAGGAGATTCCATCTGAACATGAGGAAGAACTTCCTGACTGTGAGAGCCGTTCAGCAGTGGAACTCTCTGCCCCGGAGTGTAGTGGAGGCTCCTTCTTTGGAAGCTTTTAAACAGAGGCTGGATGGCCATCTGTCAGGGGTGATTTGAATGCAATATTCCTGCTTCTTGGAAGAATGGGGTTGGACTGGATGGCCCATGAGGTCTCTTCCAACTCTTCTATGATTCTATATAATCCAGTTCAGTGCAATTTAGTCTGCATTATATGAGTATTCATTGACCATATAATGCAGTTCAAACTGCATTATATGGCAATGTAGATGGGGCCTCAGACTTTATTTGCTCTCAGTCCTCTTTATTGGTCTTTTTGGTAAAGTCTGTGGTATTTGTAGAACTTTTCTCCATCAAAAAATGGAAATATAAAGGTATGAATTTTTCTGAATTTAGTATTCTGTTCCACACACAAACACACACATATATGAATCCTATTTATTTGTCGTGTCAGGACAACCAGTTAATTGTATTACATTTCTAATAGAACAAAACAAACAAACAAACAGACAAAACACAAAATGTGCGAGTTTGGTAGTTGATTAAATGTCCTTTGACCAGTATCTGGCCACTTGGAGTGCCTCTGGTGTTGCCGCAAGAAGGTCCTCCATTGTGCATGTGGCAGGGCTCAGGTTGCATCACCGCACGTGGTCAGCAGTTTGCTCTTCTCCACACTCGCATGTCGAGGATTCCACTTTGTGGCCCCATTTCTTGAGGTTGGCCCTGCATCTCGTGGTGCCAGAGCGCAGTCTGTTCAGCGCCTTCCAAGTTGCCCAGTCTTCTGTGTGCCCAGGGGGGAGTCTCTCATTTGGTATCAGCCATTGGTTGGGGTTCTGGGTTTGAGCCTGCCACCTTTGGACTCTCACTTGCTGGGGTGTTCCAGCAAGTGTCTCTGTAGATCTTAGAAAACTATTTCTTGATTTAAGTCATTGACGTGCTGGCTGATACCCAAACAGGGGATGAGCTGGAGATGTCTCTGCCTTGGTCCTTTCACTATTGGCTGCTACTTCCCGGCGGATGTCAGGTGGTGCAATACCGGATAAACAGTGTGATTTCTCCAGTGGTGTAGGGTGATAATGCGGCATGTCTCATTAAGAGCCACATCCACTGTTTTAGCGTGGTGAGATGTGTTCCACACTGGGCATGCGTCCTCAGCAGCAGAGTAGCATAGTGCAACGGCTGATGTCTTCACTGTATCTGGTTGTGATCCCCAGGTTGTGCCAGTCAGCTTTCGTATGATATTGTTTCTAGCACCCACTTTTTGCTTGATGTTCAGGCAGTGCTTCTTGTAGGTAAGAGCACGGTCCAGAGTGACTCCCAGGTATTTGGGTGCGCTGCAATGCTCCAGTTATGAATCCTATGATTACCTATCAATCAGATAAATAAAACTGCTGTTTCTCTAGAAACAATACCAGAAGAGCATACACAACTAGTGTGGGAGGGTTTATAGTGGAGAGAAAGAGCAAAGAAATAGCATTTTTTTCCTTGGGCATCGCTCGTGCTATGACGACAGAGAAATGCCACTTCTTACATTCTAAGCTCTCCATTCGGCATCCGTATTGATACGGTCTGTGTTTATTACGTCGTGTCTCCGGCGACCTTTTGCTGCAGCCAGTATCTCAATTAAATCTGACTTTCTACATTTCTTTGTAACCTGCGGGGACCAAATCCGATGTCTGAGCGTCACCGACGAATCTAAAGTAATTATGATTCACTTTTGGGAAACTTTAAAAAGAAACTAATCTGTTTCATAAATATCACTTCGCCCGGAGGCAGAGCCCTGTCGTAATCGGATGTGGTTAGATGTTCTCTTGGGAAACAAATATAGAAAAAAAGAGAGAAATTGATGTTTTATAAAGCCTATTCATGGGTCAAAGTCTTTGAATACCATGGAATTCTAGAGTTGGGACATCTAGAGGTCATGTAGTCTAAACTGCTGGCAATGCAAGTCAGCTCAGTACTGGGTATGCCTAATAAATTTATTCGATACTAGCGGTCCCCGGCCACATGTTGCTGTGCCCCAGTCTGGTTAAATAGAAAAGAAAGAAAAGAGAAAGAGTGTCATGTATCCTGTCCTGCAGTTGGTGGTGGTTGGTGGTGGCAGACCTAGCAGTTGGTGATTTTATTTATCGTGTCAGGAGCGAACCAAACAGTTGTATTGCATTAAAAACAAACAAACAAAACACAAAGTTTGCAAATTTGGTATTCTATTAAACATCCTTTGTCCAGTAGCTGGCCACTTGGAGTGCCTCTGGTATTACTGTGAGAAGGTCCTCCATTGTGCAAGTGGCAGGGCTCAGGTTGCATTGCAGCAGGTGGTCAGTGGTTTGCTCTTCTCCACACTCGCATGTCGTGGATTCCACTTTGTGGCCCCATTTCTTAAGGTTGGTTCTGCATCTCGTGATGCCAGAGCGTAGTCTGTTCAGCGCCTTCCAAGTCGCCCAGTTTTCTGTGTGCCCAGGATGGAGTCTCTCATTTGGTATCAGCCACTGATTGAGGTTCTGGGTTTGAGCCTGCCATTTTTGGACTCTTGCTTGCTGAGGTTGGTGATGGAAGG